AGAAGAATGTGTTATTTTCCACGATTTACACAACTCATTATGCAAAGCGGGAAAGAACGGCAAGCCCCGGTGATGAGTTTGTTCCCTGTGCTGCAGGAAGCGGGGGGGAAGCATTATACTGTATATATATAATGGCGAGCACGAGTTTCAGGCAGTGTGTGCACCCTTGCCCTCACTACATCATGGGCTTTTGGAAGAGATGCTGCAGAAGCTATATATATATTACATCAAGCTATATATATATATATATATATATATATATATGAGTGTTTTTTGTGTGGCTTAGACAGACAAACCATAAATAAGACTGACAGTCACAGAAAGTGCTTGCTGAAGAACAGAAGCTGACATCTTGTGTGTGCCGGTTCCTTATATAAGCTTCCGCCTATGTGTCGTCACACATTACATCCTCGCGTTGCTCCAATTGGAGATTGGCTTAGTTTCATTCACAGGGCTCTCAAGTGTCACGCATTGAGCGTGACAGTCACTCATTTCGGTCTTTTGTCACGCACTCCCACCACACATTGTATTTCTCACGCAGAAAAACTATTTATAATATATTTAATATGCCGCAGCACTCAAATTGTCTCTGGCCGTGCCACTCTCACTGTGGAACTGGCAGAAATCAATCGCACGTGTCTCCCCTGCTCTCGTCTCTAGCCTGTCACTTATCAGCCAATCAAAAAAAAGGAAGGGCTACACAAAGGTTAGACGATCAGAAAATAGCACTATTGTATCTATTTAACGCAGCAACCAATAAAAAAGGCATTTCCTGGAATTGTCCACGTGATTCTGCAACATCTCTTCCAAAAGCTTCGTTCACCCGCAGAGGAAATAATTGGAGCTCAGAGGATCACTTTGAGCAGAGTAAGTCATGATCTCCTGTTTTAATGTTTCAACAAATTTACAAATTGTTTGATACAAACAATGACAACTTGACTGCTGTTAGAGAATCATATTTTATAATTATCCTGGCCATGCATTAATCATTGCATCTGTCTTTCAAAGATGTCAGGTAAAAAGCAAACAAGCATCCTCTCATTCGCTCTAAGAGGAAAGCCCCCTAAAATGGCTGGGCTTGAGCCGAAGTGTTTTAAATTAAGGCCAACACCACAAATGACAAAGGAGTCCAAAACAAACACTTACAACAAACAACACCAGTCATAATCTCTCTCTCTCTCTCTCTCTCTCTCTCTCTCTCTCTCTCTCTCTCTCTCTCTGAAATTGAATAAACACTTTGGTTGAATTGTCAGTGCCATGTGTTAAACACTTTCTGCAATTAATAACAACAAATACACTAATAATAATATTATTAACAATGAAACACCAACATTCGAACACCCCCCTCCCCATTGGGGAGGAGAATGTCACTCTTGCCTGTATTCAAAACTTGAGAGCCCTGCATTCATACTTTAGAGCCGCTACGCTGAGGGGCATTCCCCCAAAGTGTAATTTGACGCAGTTTGAGTTCACTCGAAAGGGAACTTACAGAGTGAGTATTTGAAAATCATGCACAACAAGGCCCATGCAGGAGTTTTCTGTTTTATGGTTGACTATGACACAGGACATAGACAACTTTGTGCAGTCTTGCAGCATAATTATGAAACACCCTGAAACGTCATCAACAAAAGGAGTCATTGCACCTCCATGAGATCCCAGAACTCCCTTGGTCAGTAGTTGCCACTGATGTATTTGACTGGAACAGTTAACCATACCTAATTCTTTTTCTGGGTGGTTTGAAATAAACCCACTCAAGACTTTGTCATCTCAAAATGTCATAAATAAACTGGAGAGGCAATCTTCTATGCACAGCATTCCCCAGAAGTAAATTGGTTTATGCACAGCTGCACTATGCTTCCTGAACTTAAGCCAGCTCCTTGTTTCCTGTCTGCTATTATTGGCCGAACTTGATTAATTCAGGTGTGTCTGATTATTGTTGCCATGACTACTGAGGTCAGGCAGACCTGGATAAATCAATTTGTCAATAATGGCAGACAGGAAACAAGGAGCTGGTTTAAGTTCAGGAAGTAGTGCAGCTGTGCATAAAGCCAATTGTGGACAATGGCACCCAGTTCACAAGCCAGGGTTTAAGAGATTTCTGTTAAAATTAAATTACTTTTTATAAGAAGTAAGTACAGAACAAAGGAAAGGGGATGTAGATAACATTTGACTTATTATGCAGTTGGGGTATACCATCCGTGTACCTATGGAAGTTAAGTTCATATATGGTCATTCCTGTATCTTGGGGGGTTCCCCTGCTGATAAACAAGTGTTACTCAAAAAAGTGTCTGTATAGACGTCACCGATCCTCATCGCAAAACTGGACTACTTAACATCTCTCAATCTTGGTCCCACTGGTTCACTTGAATATACTCCTAGAAGTCATTTTAGAGAAATGATATTAGATTTTTGAGTATTTGAGTATGAGTATTTGTGGTGATTCATAATGGGCTGGCAGACATTGGCAAGGAAACAGATAGAAGCAGTTTTTTTTTTTAGTTTTTTTTTTTTACTAGAGCTAGAGTTTTTTAACGAAAAACTAGAGCTATATTCATTGACGAGTCAGAGAGTTTTGGTATTATTAAAAGGTTTGTCTCAAATTAATTTAAGTCCCCCCCCCCCCCCCACGCCATCTTCAACCTTTCAGGTCACTCTTTGAGGATGAGACTCTTCAAAGGAAACTTTCTATCTGGCTCCATTATACACATTACATGCTTGACACTCTGCAGAGCGCAGATAAAGTTCAACCATCCTTCACAGATTACCTTAAGCAGCAGCAAGTATCCTGCATTACCCCACTGCCTCACGGAGGGAAGGAGAACAGGAAAAACTGGGGCAGGTATTATCATGAAACTCAAGTCCACAGTCCACTTCTCTTAGGACAAATGGGGACTATGAGCTATTTTTACTATTCAACTATCCGCCAACATCAGCATTAAAAACTGTGGGCTTACACCACCTATTTAATTTCTGCACCTGAGGAGGACTGATGGTTTAGTTTATATATTTCAAGCAATTTCATCCCCCCAACCCGTTTTCTTTTAACAACAAAAAATTGCAACAATTCATTTAGCACAAATACAACAAAATGAAAAGCAAAGGATGTCCATAAGATACGTAATCAGTGATATACATATTTTGACTTTCATTTTCTTGCTAGTACAGAGAAATCTACAATGGGAAATGTATAGATAGATAGATAGATAGATAGATAGATAGATAGATAGATAGATAGATAGATAGATAGATAGATAGATAGATAGATAGATAGATAGATAGATAGATAGATAGATAGATAGATAGATAACACTAATAGTACACAAACTACATTGTACAGTCAAATGTCCAGTAACAATATCCCCAATAAAAAATAGCTCATGGAGCCTGCTTTTCCTCTTTTAAACAGCATCTAAATGTAAACTACCCTGAAGAATGACCCCATGAGGTTGTCAACACTTCCCAAGTCAAAAAAAAAAAAAAAAAGATTTGAGAGAGAACAGTAAAATAGGATTCATGCAGCTCTGCGCAGACCGATCGGTGGCTGACTTGATGCAGTGCATGCCAGTTAGAAATTTTGTCCTATTTGATGCAGCACTGACTCCACATGACTGTGACATATGCCATCAAAGTACCGCGAGAGAGATTCGAGAGTAGCCGGAGAACTCAGCCAGTACAGCTTCTCAAGAGCAGATGCACAAGCTCTGATGATGTCACAGCTGTTCCACGATTCGCCGATCATGTGCGTTTCGAGTTTATTCTCACACCTTTAGTTCAATAAAGCTCACAAATCAGTTTTTTATAACAGTAAACCGTCTTTTCATGTAGTCGCGATGTTATATTGTGTCATATTTATCAAAATAAGACTGATTATAAAAACGTTGACTCCACTTCATTGATATGGGCTTGTTTTGAACTCTAGTTCAAACAGATGCTGTATGAAGCAGTAAAGTATTAAATGAAATTGTGTCCGAAATATCTGTGTATTTGGCAAATATTGCATTTCTTTCACTTCAGCTGTGGTAAAGTATGCAAACACCACGTGAGTGGTCACCATACGGGAACCGAAAGTGTCCGACACGTCTCCGTTTGCAGCTCCTTCCCGCCTGCACGCGGCTACTCTCGCCGATCGCTTCCAGCCGCAGCCGATGTCGAACACACCTGGGAGATTTTGTCTTTTCCTTACTCAGAGTTGTTCTCAGATCACTCCTGAATTAAACAAGACTCCAACGGAAAAGTTTTTAAGCTGAATTAAGAGTTTTCTGAGAGGATTCTTAGAATATTTATGAATACGGGCCCAGGTATTTTTGTTATAAAATAAAGTTGTCCATTCAGCTAAATACAAAAAAAATAAATAAAAAAATTAAATAAATAAATAAAAAAACCCTGATGAGGGCTTTCACCACAGTAAACCTAACAGGAATAGTCCTGCCAGATTTTTATGTTGACATGTATTTATTTATGACAAATCTGAAATAAAATTACCAGTGTGCTCTAGTTTTCAAACAGTTTCAATAAAGATGAAAAAAAAATACATTTTCACATTTGAGAATTGCATATAATGAGTTTTGCAGCTCCTTAAGATACTCCAAACAACATAGAACCATAAGTACAAATTTGCAAGAAAAAACATTTATAACATCTGTTATCATTGAAAGAAATAGATTTTAATATAAAAATATATACGACTGCTTGACCAAATCAATGCTAAGATTTTGAACAGTGAGCATTCTACTGCTTCCCTTAAATGCTAAAATGTATTCTCCCTGAATATATACACAAAGTATCTTTAATTAATCCCCAAAAAAATATCTTGCGTGCTGTCTATTGTCCAGTAATCATAAAAAAAACTCAACTATCTTTAATGAAATGGCAGCTGTCATGATAGTTGTAACACCTGACCCTAATAATTGAGTATTACATGTTCCCATGACAACTGATTGCCAAGAAACAATTGGTAAACGTCAGTTGCTGGCACTATAAAGAGTCCCTTCAGGCAGCACTAATATGTGTTAGTGATCAAGTATGTTTTGTTTGAATTTTTAATTGGTGTTGTTGAGGTGGTTAGTTGTATTTTTGTTTGGCCATGGAGGGTATCACTAGCTGTCTCTTAAGGTATGATGAAAAATTTTAGTTTTTGTTGACAAGCGGCATTCATCTAACTTTTTTTTTCGTCCACAGTTTTTCTCTGGCACTTCTCAGTCTTTGTGTCTGTGACCATTTTGGAAGTGGTAAGGTTTATCCAGGCAAGTTCTAGAATTCATGTTTGTTAATGTGTCTGATTTTGTTACTTTTTATTTTCTTCTAGTTGGTGGCTTTGTCAGGAGTCGTTATCCTATGTACTATGAGGCTGGTTTCCCCATGCAGGATGTGAAGCCACGAAGTTCCTACAGCTATTATGGGGCTGATTTATCAAATCCCACAAGTCCTCAAAGATCAAGGAGTAACACTTACAGTGCTGCACAGGTTAAGGGTGTGTATAGCAGTGTAAACTCAAATTCTGTATTGGAGTCTATGGACCAGTCCAGTGGTCTACAATCAGCCCAAGCCAGCTCTCAGTCTGTGGACCAGTCTGGCATCCAAGCCGGCTCACAATCTGTTGAACTGTCAGGTAGTCTGCTGTCAGCCCAAACTAGCTCTCAGTCTGTGGACCAATCTGGCATCCAAGCCAGCTCACAATCTGTTGAACTGTCAGGTAGTCTGCTTTCAGCCCAAGCCAGCTCTCAGTCTGGCCTCCAAGAGCCAGCCCAAGCCAGCTCACAGTCTGTGGATGAGTCTGGCATCCAAGAACCAACACAATCTAGCTCAGAGTTTGTTGACCAGTCTGTCACCCAACAACCAGCACAAGCTAGCTCACAGTCTGTTGACCAGTCTGGCATCCAACAACCAGCACAAGCTAGCTCACAGTCTGTTGACCAGTCTGGCATCCAACAACCAGCACAAGCTAGCTCACAGTCTGTTGACCAGTCTGGCATCCAACAACCAGCCCAATCCATCTCTCAGTCTTTGGACCAGTCTGGCTTCCAACAACCAGCACAAGCTAGCTCCCAGTCTGTGGACCAGTCTGGCATCCAACAACCAGCCCAATCCAGCTCACAGTCTGGCCTGCTGTCAAGCCAGCAACAAGCCAGCAACCAGGTTGTGCCCCAGCTTAGTTTCCAAAAATCAACACAAACTGGCTCCCAATCAGTGAATGGCCCCAGTAGTCTGCAGACAGTACAAGCCCACTACCAGTCTGTGTCCCGGCCCAGTGGTCTGCAGACAGCACAAGCCCACTACCAGTCTGTGTCCCGGCCCATTGGTCTGCAGACAGCACAAGCCCGCTACCTGTCTTTGTCCCGACCCAGCGGTCTGCAGCCAGTAACAGCTCGCTACCAGTCTCTGTCCCAGCCCAGTGGTCTGCAGTCAGGCCAAGCCAGGTACCAGTCTGTGTCCCAGCCCAGCAGTCTTCAGTCAGCACAAACCTATTACCAGTCCAGTGGCCTACAGTCCGGCATCCAACAACCAGCCCAAGGCAGGTACCAGTCTCTGTCCCAGCCCAGCGGTCTGCAGACAGCCCAAGCTGGCTACCATTCTCTGTCCCAGCCCAGCAGTCTGCAATCAGGACAAGTCAGCTACCAGTCTGTGTCCCAGCCCAGTGGTCTGCAATTAGGACAAGCCAACTACCAGTCTGTGTCCCAGCCGAGTAGCCTGCAGTCAGCCCAAGCCGGTTACCAGTCTCTGTCCCAGCCCAGCGGTCTGCAATCAGGACAAGTCAGCTACCAGTCTGTGTCCCAGCCCAGCGGTCTGCAGTCAGCCCAAGCCCGCTACCAGTCTGTGTCCCAGCCCAGCGGTCCACAGTCAGCCCAAGGAGGATACCAGTCTGTGTCCCAGCTCAGCGGTCTGCAGTCAGCCCAAGCCAGCTACCAGTCTGTTTCCCATCCGAGTGGGCTGCAATCAGGACAAGCCCGCTACCAGTCTGTGTCCCAGCTCAGTGGTCTGCAGTCAGCCCAAGCTAGATACCAGGCTGTGTCCCAGCCCAGCAGTCTGCAATCAGGACAAGCCCGCTACCAGTCTGTGTCCCAGCCCAGTGATCTGCAGTCAGCCCAGCCAGATACCAGGCTGGGTGTCCCAGCCCAGCGGCCTGCCAGTCAACCCAAGCCGCTACCCAGGCTGTGTCCCAGCCAGCAGTCAGCAATCAGCGCCAACCCCGCTACCAGTCTGTGTCCCAGCTGCAGTGGTCTGCAGAGTCCAGCCCAAGCCAGATACCAGTCTGTGTCCCAGCCCAGCAGTCAGCAATCAGGACAAGCCCGCTACCA